ATTCAATTCAATTCAGTTTTCATTTGTATAGCACCAATTCATAACAAAAGTTATCTCAGGACACAAGAAGTGTTTTTTGTTTGACTCCAGCAGTCTGCAATAATTGTTCCTTTTATGTATTTAAACTCTGCTGCTTTCATTAACACAAATTACCTGCTTTTACTGTGTCTTATTGAAACATTTAGTGAGCTGAATGACTTACTGAATGACTTACTGAATGAATGAATGAATGTATAGAATGAAACTTGTGTCTGAATGAATTGCACATTTGAAGTAGATTCTTCCAGATTTGAAATAGTTGCAAATATATATATTTAAAAATCTTTTAGCATTTTGTTATTAGTTTACAGCTGAAATAGTCTCTTACTTTGATGAAGATGATGGCACTAATGATTTCTCTTAGTCCCAGATTTTAGTTAGCCATTACATTACAAACATGGCATTGATAGGGATAGTGATAGGCAGGCAGCCTTGTCAGAGTGGCTGTTATGGAACAATGTTAGTGCTCTTGTAAATTTTGAGAAGGTGGGGAAATGAAGCATCCTGCTGTAAATATTTGCCTGAATATCTTAGAGAGTAGAATAGAATTTACATTGATTTTCTTGCTTCTGATATTGGCATTATATATCATATCATATATATATCGGCCATTGGCAGCCCAGGTCTCTAAATATCGGCATCGGAGATCTGTATCAGTATCAGTTGTCTTACTGTGTGTCTGAAGGTCCAGGTTCATTACTGAAGAATGGAGATTCATCTTTAGACTGGTCACTCTTCATAGACAGACAGCTGGACATTGGAGACTTTGCTCTCTGTCTGTTGGACTGAACTCTGCAAACACCAAGATGGTTTTATTCACATCACATAAATCCTGAATGAATTCTTTGATGACACATTCTTTTAGGAAGCTCTAAATACACAAACTGCTGCTACTGTAATAAGAGGTTTGCAGGCATTCTTAAATTACAACTTTTCTGTGTGATTGACACCTGTCACAAAGACTGACAGGAAGATGATGGCACTAATGATTTCTCTTAGTCACAGATTTTAGTTCGCCATTACATTAAAAACATGGCATTGATAGGGATAGCCTAGATAGATAGCCTTGTCAGAGTGGCTGTTATGGGTCAATGTTAGTGCTCTTGTGAATGTTGGGAAGGTGGAGAAATGACATTTGCCTTAATATCCTATAGAGTAGAATAGAATTGTACATAGAGCCCAGGTCTCCAAATATCGGCATCGGACATCAGCATCAGTATTAGTTCTCTTACTGTGTGTCTGAGGGTCCAGGTTCATTACTGAAGAATGGAGGATCATCTTTGGACCGATCACTCTTCATAGACAGACAGCTGGACATTGGAGACTCTGCTCTGTCCTCCTCTTCCTCCACACAAACACTCATCTTCTGCACTTCAGTCAGTCTGAGAGATAAAATAGTAACACTGACTGTGAGTTCAGATCACAAGAATCAAAGTCAAAACCAGTCAGAACTCCAGCTGGTCATGGGTTCGAGTCTGACCTGTGGCCGTTGGCTGTATGTTTCTCCACCTTTCCTCTCACTCTACAGATGTCCTATCTGAAATATTTTTAAAAAGAACTCCACCTGGTCACTTTTCTTTAAGTCAAATGACATCAACAATCCGTTACTAATAATAGCCTAATCAGTGCAATAGTGAAGCAGAAAATATAGCTACATAGGTGACTAGATAAAATATTTCTACGACCTCAGAAAATAAAAACAAACTCTTGACCTACTAATTAATGTAGACAAATTGATAATTTAATAAAAGTAGTCCCTCATTTGATTTTAGAGTCTTCTTTATTCTGGTGACAGCAGCAGCATGTCACACTTTGCATCTCTATTGTGTTATTAATTATTAATTAATGCAGCGTTCAGAAATACACAACACATCCAGTGCAGGAGTTTTCAATATTACTGTGTCATCAAGGTAAGTCCTCAGCATTTTTTGCCTTCAAGTCTCAAGTCAAGTCGAGGTTTTTGGTTGGTTCTTGGAGTTGTTGTGGTTACTTTACACGACTGATCAGAAACTGAAGAATGTTTCATCATTAATTATTAACAATCACAATATGTTTAATTAGGAAATTATTTTAAAAACAGGCTCAAAGAAGAACCATTTACTGCTGTTAGAAACCTTCTGATCAACCAGCATCAACAATCAATACACCCAATATTAAAGCACTAATCAAACTAATAACTAACAGCAGTCAATGTCAGACAACCTTATCAGACTTTAGCAGTTAGCTAGTGTTTCTGTAGTGGAGACAAAACGTTAAAAATGACACATTTTTGACCAGCAGTTTGACCAGGTGTGATCCCCTGAGACAAACTGCCACATTTAAACTGGCTTTAGTTTATAAAAGTCCAATCACTGTGGAAGGTGATAATCACATGAGACCATACGAACTGTGAAACTTCATTTTATACTGCATTTACTTAGTGTGGGAGATGGGAAAGTTGAAAAGCTACAGTTTCTTGTTTAGCTCTTCCTAATAAAATATTTTCCAGTCCTTCACGTATTAGAGGCCTAAACTGCCACCTGAATAGTCCGTTGTGTGCAATTAATCAACCAAAATGTTTATTTTTAAAGTTAGACAGATATACAGTATATATCACATTTCAGATCTCTCAGCATTGCTAACATGTCCCACATTTTCCCACACAATCATACTCATACATACAACATACTGGGATCTGGTCTTTTTCTTCCCTCTCTGCATTAAGGTCATATCGCTGGTGTGTTTTAATGCTGTTTAACTGTAGGCCCTTATACGGCCATATAAAAAAGAAAAGTGTTCCATTTGGCTGGTGCTATATTCCCAACTGGTTTTCAAACTAACAGGTTGCTGTATGTGTGCGGATGTTGTGTGCAGTGACCAGCCTCAGTCACCAGATTAGTCACACATTCACAAATATATTACTGAAGTGCAATAAAGTCACTGAAGAATTTAAATACTACTTTGCTGTGTTGGACTTTCCAAACTTTTTATCCCTTTGGAAAAATGACACACCACGCTTGGTTCAGTTGGAGTGAAGCTCTTATTAACACGGCATTGAATTGACTTCAATAGCAAAGGAGTTGTGTGTGGGTGCGTCTGTATTTTACTACACGATATATTGTGATTTCGATAATATTTCTATCACTTGTGCAGCCCTAAAACAATATACACAAAACAAAGCAGAAGAATGACTCTGTGAAGTCCATTGCTTCCCGGTTAGAATATGACCTCTTGTATGCTCCTCCTCCTGTGGCTCCGTGTTGTACTGTATTGTCTAAGTTACATTGTCAGTGTTTTAAAGTATTTCTTTTTCATAATGTGTAGTGTTGTACGAGGCTGTAATATAGTGATCAGTGTGACCATAGCCTAGAGAACAAACTTTGATATACATGTTTTTGTATTTTCTAAGACAAGGTAACCAGTAGTTTTATACTAACCCCAAACCAGGGTGCGAACTACAGGGGAGCCAGAGGGAGCTGGGCTGCTCTTAATAAGACCCCTGAAAACATCATTTGTACAATTTTGGGGGGTCTCTAAAACAATATGCTATTTTTGCCATGTATTTCTATTCCTTATACCTTCATTGTCGTGGATTACGCGTAAACTTGGGCTACTGTGGACGTTTTAATAAAGTTTAAATCCACCTTAAAGTGCATCTGCACAGTCCTTAACCATCAACTTCACACCAGAAAACAAACCTTCCTGGTCTCAGTCAGTGCGCGCTGACTACGTGCGCACGCGTAACGGCAACCAGGGATATAACGGCGGTATCGTCAAAACAGAGTGATATACTATGAACCAGTGACTGTCCACAGGGAGAGAACCGAGTCTCTGACAGTAACATAATAGAAAGGTTTGTATTAACACTCACTAAGCCTTCCTCACCCTTCTGCATCCTTCTCCCGCCCTGCCGACTGTCTCAACCCTCCCACTAACCCTTGAACCTGGATCACATGGTCCGTATAACCATATCCAGTTGGATATTGGGCACATATTCACTCCACAGCCAGCTCCTTTTTCGGATGGGTTTCACCCAGCTTTGGCAGAGGGCGGGTCGCTCTTATGCGCACGGGTTTCATTTAGGGACCGTCAATAAATTACTGAAGAAAGTTTATTTTTAGTTCCTTCTGTGTCATGGGACTGTAACTAAATGCTGAATTATATAACCACACTACACAACAAGGACACACATGTTTAATCCAATTCCAATGCTTCTTGTAGTTTATATTAATATTCATACGGAAAAGTCTTGAATGTTTGTTTCCATGTCATGTGTCCCAGGCACTCCAAATCAATGCCAAATTACAGTATGTTACTACTCTCCACAACAAGGACACACCTCTTAAATAAATCCATTTTAAACGCTTCTTTTATTTTTATATCAATATTTATATGGGAAAATGTTTTTATTTTTTTCAGTATGTGACCCAATCAATGCCAAATCTTAGTACTACACTGCACAAGTAGGAAACACTTCTTTCAATCAAATTTGAATGCTTCTTGCATTTTATATTAATATTTATATAGAAAATACTTTTACCTCTTTTCTTTTAATATAATTCAGTCAAAATGTTGGTATGTTATCTCATCTTTGTCTTCAAATCATGTAAACAACAACTATTAAGGTTAAACATTTTCTTTTACAAACCATGAAACACAAAAACAGTTGTATATAGGCTCCGTCTGTTTGACAGGCAACACTGAGTTTCACTGGCGGTCGTTACTCCTTCTTAATTTTAAGCAGTGTAAAAAACAAATCTTATAAAATACACACAATATATCTGACAGGATAAAGGTCGGGTGAAGTCAGGAACACAAACTATAACCTAACAGAACAATGGCAACAGATCAGGGAGACTTTTTTTATTTATTTTTTTAAAGCCTATTAAGTCTGTATGATGTTGAAAATACATACATATAAAGACAAATTGTATAAAAAGTTACAAAAAATATCAAAATAATCTGCTCAAAATTCATCCAAATCACATCACAAATTGAGGCAAGCTGTAAATAATACACGTTACAGCAACACATTAATGCAGTGGTTCACCCCCACTAGGGGTCGCCAAAGCTTACCAGGGGGTCGCAGGACCTTCTTGATTTTTAAAGCATGTAAGAAAACATTAAAAAATATACACGGCAGGTCTAAATCTCAGAATTTTCTTAACTTCTGTGAAGAAGTGTCAGAGAGAAGAAATCACAGACTATTAAATATGTACTAAAAATGATTTAAAAAATACATAATAGATAAGAAGTACCCTAAATAGGAAATAATCTGCTCAAAATACATCCAAATCTCTCATTTTACATAATTGTCTTGCAGTTATTGAGTTGATTTATATGAGTCCCTGAAGGAAAAAAGTTGGGAACCACTGCATTGATGTACACAGTGTCACTATCAGGAGGGAATATTCAGCTGTCTACATACTCAAACAGGTATGAGGAAAATATGACAGCCATTGTTGAAACACCATTTTATTACATAGTTTAAACACAGAAAGTGGTCTGACTGTGGTCTGTGTGCGACTGTAAGGACCCATTTGATGAGCCACAGAGCTTCCTGAGTGTGAACTTTTAAATGTGTTCAGCAAATTTCAGAGGTGGCGCCGTTGCATGCATTACAAATCATTGGAAAGAGCAGAAAAAGGTTTCAATTCTGTCTTTTCCTGATTCCATTGACCTTTTTCTGACTTTGTTTGTTGAGATTCAACACTTAACACTGTTTTAGGGCCTGAAAACACAAATATTTGAAACCGGATTCCAGGGTGCAATCTTTTGGAAACACCACAGTTACCATCGACATGTACCACCAAAACACTTCTGCTATGAAAATGGTGACGACATGGCTGCACTTCAATAGCCACGTCCAAACACAAGAACAACAATGGCAGACCATCAAGCTGTGTTTGTGCTGCAGGCTCTGCTGAGTTTATTGAAATAAAAAAGGAATTTTTAAGCCTTTAAGATTGCGTCTGCAATTATATTGTTTCACTATTAATTAAACAATGTATGACACAAAAACACAATTTCTTTGTGTTTTTCATGTAAATCCAATCATTGTGTCTTCCTGTAAAACAAAATGTGAGGCGTTCTTACGTCAGCATGAACTAACTGATTTCAACACATTCACCTGTCAATCAATCTTCAACTTTTAGCGACATAGAGCGAATATTGGACGTGTTGCTAAAAGAAGCTTACTGTCGCCAACATTAATGCTAGATGCTGTTAGCTAGTTAGCAGCTAACATTAGCTGACTGCCAGCCAAAACCAGCAATAAAACCACCTCAGTACTGTAGTCAAACTGACCTCAGTCAGCATCAGATGCTGCATTCAGTCCCGGTCTAGACCTGCTGTTCACTGGGAGTCAGCTAATGGGTCCACTACAGCAAACAAATATGTGGAAGCAAACAGTACCCGGATTTCTGTTTTATGTGGACTCGAATGCTCCTCCAGCACCATTACTGTGATCAGCAGAGATAATTACATCCAATAATCAATCCACCTCTGAGTCAATGGAGGGCAACTAAAAGACCTTTTTGGTTACACTGCTACCTACAGGTCTGGCAGGGATACTGCAACATTGTTGTTGGGATCTGTGTGCACGAGGAATGTTTTCAGAATGTGTTCATATGAATGTGGAACTTTTATAAAATGCAAAGGAAAACCTTTTCCAATTTTGGCAAACCATTGTTTTTTCCCTTTCAACAAAGCTTCGTGTTTATAGATTACGATAAGTCATGTGACTGTTTCCTGGTTTTGTTTCAGCTTAGGCTCAGCTCGGTGGAAATGCATAGATCCACCTCACGGAGAGCGTCGATCAGGACTGAACTAGCTCTGGTTCCCTTTTTCCGCACCATGTCGATTATGTCTCGAGCTTTTTCTGCTTGGACTTTTATTCTGGCTGACTGCATTTCCTCATCATTTATAACACCACGCTGAAGGAGTTTATCCAAAAGCTGGTTCAGAGCAGGGTCAGACACCCTGTTTATAAACTCTGTCCGAACTGAGAACAGCCTCTCCTGTGCTGGGACGCTGTCTTCTACTTGGACGTTCTCCTCGACTTCTTCGGGAAGACTTCCCCTTCTTGAATCTGGAAAATAACCTGGAAGAAAGGCCTTTTTGTTTAATGACCAACAATCACTTTAAAACAGAGATCTCTTAAAAAATAACAAAATGAAATGTCATGTTTTTGTCTGTTACACCATTCTTGTGTTCTCTTCTGAGAAAAAAAATCTGGTGTAATCATCACTGTAACCACTGCACCACTGAACACAATGGGCCTCATGCAAGAACCACTCGTACTCAGGAGAATTTCTGCAATTGATGGGGTTAGGGTTCTCTTCACATTAAGGTGTATGCAGGTCGCTGTCCAGGGGAACAATGCCTGACAACGCAACATCACCTATTATAGCAAGTATTCTTTCCTCTGTCTCCGTGATGGAAACCACTTCGTCTTGATTTCAGCAGCAGTACGACTCCCAGGTGACACTGTGTTAACAACACTTTTTATTTTTTACCGCTTCTCCTAAAATGATCTCCGAGAGCTGGACTGCAGTCCGAGCACAGGTGGCATTCATCATTCTTACGCAGGTGATTTACACACAAATCTGAAGTTAGGAACGTTTGATGAATCTGACGTGGCACACTTGTACGAGCAATCATATGAAAAAGTAAGAGAAAGTTCAGATAAGAATAGGAAAATGTTCTTGCATGAGGCATAGTGGTAGTTGCTGTAGGGTGTTTAAAAGTCAGATAAAAGTGAGAAGAAGAAACTGGCTCAGACAGTTTGACACATTTTTCTTAAAGCTTTCCAGCACCAGGGGTCAAACCATTAACGCTGCAGTTCGAGTGCATCAACTTGACTCGACTACCAATCAGCATTAACAGTGAAAAAGGAGGAAAATGTGTCTTGAAAGCAGTCAGATACAGCTGTAATCAATCATTAATGTGTATGTGGGATCTGACATAGTTATAGTTTGTGAATAACTTTTTTCATTAATATATAGATGAAAAAAATTATATTCAGGGACCTTCACATTTTCTCCAGAGAGCTTTTCAGATGCAGATTTGTATTCCATTCACTAAACTAAAGGTGCAGTGCAGGAGCGTGAAGCCTTTACCTGTCAGATGCACAGTACGTTTCCAGACTTGTCTCCCCTCTTGGTCCTGGACCATCAACGTCACTCTCTCTGTATTCGTAGTCAGGAAAACCTCAAATGTTGGATGGAAATTTCGCCCGTACTTTGATTGAAACTTTATACTCTGAAAAACAGAAACCAAGCTTCATTGTCAGACCTGTTGTAAAAATGTGTATCTGGTACTCTCCTAATTGTGAATATGTTTTCAATATACAATTCAATTCAATTCAATTCAACTCAATTTTATTTGTATACATAACAGAAGTTTATCTCAGGACACTTTTCAAAATAGAGCATGGTCTAGACGAACTCCTTTGTACTATGATTATTCCATTATAACCATAAGACTTGCTGCCACACCAGAAAAAGAAAACGTGTCAGTATCGCGTTATTACGTTGAAAGCATATTGTTTTATCAAATGTTTCTTACATTATAACAAGATATTTTCATGTTACAAACGTATGATGTTATAACAACGCAATAACTTTGTCTATATTGTTGGAATGTGAAACTCGTGTTTGAATGAGGAAACTGCTGAAAACAGACAAATTGAGGAATATGGTTCATTTACATGATTTGATTAAGGTCTACTTCCTGCTTAGATTGGGACATGATGAGATTTTGTTGTTATTGATCATGGTGGATGATATAAGTATGCATACTCTAAGAAAGATTTGAAAATGCATGGGGCTTTACAGAAAGAGGAATGAGTCCGACCCTCTAGTTTCTCATTGATTAGCTGCTTGTTAGAATTCTTGGTAGAACATCGTAGGTTTGTATGTTGTAATGCCATGAATATATCTCGATATAATAAGGAAAACATTTTGATATAACATATAATATACTTTTTATGTATACTTTTTATGTATTACGTGATACTGATCCCATTTTCTTTTGCTGGCGTGGCAGCAATACGCTGCTGTATAGAAGTAATTTGACTCACCTCAGGCTGTATTGCGAAGTCCTCAGGTTCGCAGTGGACACTGTAACTGTGACCAACGTTGAGATGGCAGTCTGAGGAGATCTTGATGTACTTCGCATCTTCTTGTTCGGTGACAACCTTCAGCAACAACACATCTTTATTATGGAGTTCATGCTCAGATAGACAAGTCAATTTTAATTACAGAGTGCATTTAAAAACAACTAATGATGAAAGTGTTTTACAGACAGATGAGAATTACAATGAAATAAAAACACATGGAGGAACAAGAGGATATAAGTAAATGAATAAAAGAGTAGAATAAATCATTCTGGGTAAAATCTCCCAAACACCACAGCGATGCACAGAGAACAAATAAAATAGCAGATTGTGGCCGGTCAAGTCTTCATGATGTCTATTAAAAGGCTGAGGAAAAGAGATGGGTCTTGAGACAAGTTTTGAAGATTACCATGGAAGAGGAAGATCTGATATAGTGAGGATCAAACTATTTAATAGTTCAAGTGCTCGATCATACCTGGATATTAACTAACACAAATATTGATGTGTCCCTCCATCTTTACTCTCCGAAAATAAAATAAAACTGTGTGAATATCTTAATGACTTGAATTTGTATGATGTCTCAAAGGTACGGCCTCCCTTAAATAAAATATACCTTTTTTTTTCATCAGGTTTTTCTCTGTTTTTGGACAGGTACTGGACTGTACAGTTGGCACCTGCTCCCTCTCTGATTGCCATGTCAGTGTAACTGACACTAAGATATCGTCTACGTTGTTGTTCAATGTTTTGGACAGTGGGGTCGATGGTCATATTCATTACGATGGCATAAACCTGTCCCCACTCTCCTCGACTGGTCCAATCAGTCCCATTAAGATCAATATTATCCTTCAACATTTGCATCCTGAGAGTTAAAAACGTTAAAAATAAAAAGATGTATAGTTCAGATTGATTTTAATTCTAACCACAAGAAGGTTTGATAAAGTGTGTCTGACCTTAATTAGATTTACGGCTAATGATAAATACATTTGAAAGATCACTTTACCTCACGCCGAAGGATGTTTCCCGGCAGCAGAAATACATCGAGTACACAATGTCTTAAAACTGGAGGTCGGAGGAACAGCAGAACTTGGCCATTTATTGGTATTGTGGTGTTCAGAAACCTTTTAACAATATCCCAGATCAGGCCATATCCAGAGAGTTGAAGGACCTCCACAGCCACATGAGTATTCGTAATCTGCAGCGGCTCCAAGATGCTCATTCCATCATCCGTGATGTGTACGACAGACAACACGCCTTCCAAGAGCAACGCTGCGAGAACAAAGAGCTAATTAGTCTCTACATCATTTATGTCTTACCACTTGAGTTCAGATAGTTAAAATAAATCTATTTTTGTTTTAACAAAGTACTACACATTAAAGGTCCAGTGTGTAGGATAACTGAAAACTGCTCACATCTGTACTTTCAGACCTGGGAATGAGAACAGGCTGTGAACTAAGATGGCTTCTCTCGCTAAAAAACTCGCTAAAAATGCAAAAGGTCCTAGCTACAGCAGGTGTTTGTTTTGTCTGTTCTGGGCTACAGGCTACAGTAGAAAACATGGCGGACTCAATGAAGGGCGACCTGTTCCTCTGTGGATAAAATAAGTTCATTCTAAGGTAACAAAAACACAACGATCTTATTTTCAGGTGATTATACATAATGAAAAACAACCTATGAATATATTATTTAATTTCTGCCAATAGATCCTCCTAAAGGTTACACACTGGACCTTTAATTCAAAATTTGGAATAAAAACAGCAGTAGTTTTTAACATCCTTGTTTCACAGTGTCGGAGCTGAGAGACAGCACCATCCTCAGAACACTGGATTTCGAACAGCGGCCCTGCAGCCGTCTTGCCAGCTGATTGGAGGAGGATATCATCCCATTGGACAGTCCTGTACAGCAGCTCCGCCTCCTGAGCCATAACAAACACAAGTCCAGTAAAAATACACTGGAACACACCTGGACCAGGACACCTGAACCTGAAGGACACATACGGAACAAGTAAATATGACAAGTATTTATTGTCCTTTCCAGGACACATGGGAACCACTTATGAATGTTTATGGTATAATGTTAGTATAACTGTCCAGATCCGTTTTACTTGCTAGGTACAGTGACTGGCTCGGGGAAAAACTATGGGATACCTCAACAGCCACAGCTGAGACGGTCTACTCATGCGGGCAACATGGCTGCTCTAACCTGTTCTAACACGGGCGCTGAAATAAAAAAAGCTTCTTTGTCTGCATTTGGGTCCTTCCTCTGCTGTCTTGCACCCACTTGCAGTGACAGAATCACAACTTGATGAACCATGAAAGAAGTTGGAATAGTGTTTTGACATTTTATATGATTACCTGTATGAAGATTCAGTTGTCTGTTCAGGTGAGAAGAATAGTGGAGCCTGGAATTAAGAAAGTTATTTTAATAAAAATGAAAACTTGTTGTAGTGTTATATAAAGGGATTGAATTGAAATACTATACAGTACAGTACAGTACAGTACCAATGAAGTGACAGTGTAAGGTGTGTTAGAAAAAATTTCTAAGAAAATTAGTCCCATTTAATGTATGAAAACAATCTGCATGTATGAGACCATGATTATATATAATGAATTTGGGGTTTCACAGAATAGTCAACCAGTCGACACTGTGCATCATTGTAGATCAATGTCAGACACCCAACTCTTCAAATAAGTAATGAGCATGTAAGGAGCTAGCAGCTAGTAAAGCTATTTGTTTCTTTGTTATTTGTTTAATACAACGTGAAGCAATGGCGCTGCATATATGGAATACATGTATAGTACATAAGAAAGTGTGGGTGTGATTAATTAATTTAATAGGAGACAAAGAATCAGATGCACAAAACATGGCTTCATAAACCACATAAGAGAGAGAGAGACCGGCAGTACAGCAGGTGAAGGTGGAGATGGTGAAGCTGATATATCACTACAACACTGCAGTTGTAAATGCAGTCTAATGCATTAAATAAATGTCTGCAGTTGTGATACATTACATACATTTGTTTACTCAATTCACTCAGTTACGTCACTTTGTGGTTTTCACTGGAGGACATCACACTGTACAAGTGCTCCTTTCTTACCTTTTTCTTTTCGACAGGGAGGTGGAGCTTCTTTTTCACAACCAGTTTGTCGTCAGAGTCATCTGATGGAGAGAAGAAAGTGAAAGTAAGAAAAGAAAACTTGAATGGGGTAAGAATGATTAGTAGCCAGAATTCTACTTTCCTAACGGATGTTTGTATTTAAAACTCAGATTTAAAACAGATCAGATTTGAATGTACAATAGTTTGATAAATGGGGGAAATCGTATCAATACTCACATTTTTTGCGTTTCTCAGCTATTATCAACTTGCCACTAATCCTGTAAGAACAAAAAAAATGTTATGGATCAAATTAAAAATTGTTGTTTGTTCTTTAGCTAGCTTCAAAGTGCTGACACTAACTGATCAAACATTTGGGTTCCTTGTTGCTGCACTACAGAGTAGATTTTACTATAATACATAGACTGTACAATTAAAAATGGTTACACACAGGTTTGTGAGGAGACGTTGTGACGTTTTGTTACTTCCATATTGTGCTTCATTTGCAGCC